TTTGTAACGCTATGGAACCTGCTTGAGTCAGGCTCGAGCGTGGGCACAAAGGGGATAACTCCTCTAACACCTTTCCACCATGGGAATTCCTTAAATAGTATAACTATTGACAGCTTAGCTCTCAACTCATGGATACAAGCAAGTCCTTAAAGCATAAGCTCCAGACCATTGTGACAGTATGAATCATAACTAATTTAAATGTTGCATTCTTCCTCTATAATATTCAGTACAAGCATTAAGCTAAAGAAGCTATATGATAAAGAAGCTATTTCTAATAACCTAAAATGAAACAAAACATAGTTATTCTAAAAATCAAACTTTTTAAAAAATTAACCAAAATTCTTGTAAATGTTTTTGCTTAATATTGGATGAGCATAGCTCAGCAAACATGCACATTCAAGGATCTTTTAATTGAATACTTAATGACAACCAGATAGTGAGCTAACAGGCTAAGTTACATTACATAGTATTCAAGTTTTATTCACATCAAAAACATTTATCCTTAAACATCATCATCAGACATTGCCATATTTTTGCCATTAGCACAGTTGGGCAGAAAATTAAAATTATATATTTTGATAGAAGGAAAGATGCTCTTTCTAATGAAGCATAAAAGAAAAAGTTTAAAATACCCCACATGGCGATATTTGCCTCTGAATGTTGATAAAAATTGAGTCTGTTTTTTTTTTTTGTACTTTTCAGTGGGCATATTTCTAAAACTATGACAGCTATAAGCTTGAAATTTTATTCAAATAATTACCCTCTTATACAATTTAAAAACCCAAAGTTTGGCTATAAAAGATTGTTTTCTTCCTGAGTAACAAGCAATTGAAATGATGCTTTGTTTTATGAGAATGAATTTTACTGAAACTTTGATGAAGATTTGTGACTAGAGTACTTTTTATTAGAAGTTTTTGTTAGAATATCTGAATTTTTCACTTGAAACTGTCTTATGCTAACATGCTTTAATTGCTTTTAGTCAATGAACCATTGGAGAACAAAGTTGGCTGTTTAATCACTGAGCATGTAGAGGTGACATAAGGTATCTTCACATTTGGGCCTATATCTCAGGAACCATGCAACATATGGGGGCTAATGTTTTGCATGGTTTTGTTTAAGGTCCTTAGCTACCTCTGTGCTAAATTTCATTGAAATCTGAGGAGGTCAAGCTGGAGACTTTGATCACTTGCTGCTCACACTGTGAATGGCAAGTATTATTGAAAACCATTGAATGGTATCAATGTACCATGTACAGTTGACAGCTAAAGAAAATTACTACCTCACACAGATCTGCATGAAGATGACATTATGGGTTCAAATTTGATGTAATGCAGGGCTTCTTAAACTTTTTTTATTCACGATCTCGTTTATGATTGTGATTTTTTTCATGACCCAAAAAAAATATATAAAATAAAGATATATACAAATTTGCAAAAACAATAATGGTGTACTACCACATTTCACTCTTGTGTTACAATGAAACAGAGACAACTGAATACACTGAAAAGCGACAACACTACACTAGTTCACACTACAATCAGTGTTGCTGAATCGTTGTCTCACTGCACCAGAAGTGACATGAAGCACAACTCACGAAACCTATGACACAAAGCATGCCATTTTCAAAATCTCACAAATTATTTTCAATATTTTGCATTAAAATCTCGCAACCCCAAGATTTCGCTAAGAGACCCACAGTTTAAGAAGCCCTGATGTAATTCATAACCCAGACTAGGTCAATCAAATATCAACATTAACTTGGAAATATGCTTCAAGTAACTTTGTTCATTCCAAATTTTAATAAATTTCTCAAACCAATTTATCTTAAATAAATAATTATTTGGCTACAATGAACTCAATAATATGTACAGTACAATTCTGTATGTATTTTTGTTTAAATTTTTTTCTGTTATAACGACAATCAATCAGATGATCTTCATTTGCACATGGAAGCTGTAGAATTAGACATGCATAGAAAAGAAAAGAAGAAATATCATCTGCAAGAAGGAATGTGGAAGAATTTGAAATTTGATGATATTTGGTTGCATTTCTTCTGTATGAAGAACATATTAAAATTGAGTGTGAAAAAACCAATTTTATTTTGAACTGTGACAGTAGAAGTTGTGTGCTAATTAGATTTTCCATCTTTATATTAAAATTAATTATTTTGGTTTGAATGCATTATTTCCCTCCATAATGCTGAGAAATTTTAATAATTACAAATTAACAAATGATATCAAAGGATAAATTATAGGATTTTTGAAATTAATCATTTCTATGAGAATAATACCTTGTAAATTTGATATCCATCATAAAACTGTTTCAAATTGGATATGTCAATGGCAAGAAGAACATAATTTAAAATGCAAAAAAGTAGATCAAGAGAATGCATCAAGATGCAGTAGATCAAGAGAAATGTCTTTGAGAAGTTAACATTAATATTTGATTGAACTAGTTTGGGTTATGCATTACCTCAAATTTGATTCCATGACATCATCATAATGCCAATCAGCAAGAGGTGAAGATTTACTTTTGCTGTCAACTGTATAATAATGAACAAAATAATATTTGTACAAATGCAACATGGAAAATGTAATAATAATTCTCATCATCGTTTGGTACTATATTTTACTGTGGGGACTTTCTTTATCCTGCACAGAGTATAATTTGAACTAATTACATGGTGGTTCAGATAAATAGGGTTATATTAATATGTAAAAAGAAAAGAATGTCAAATAGAACTAAAGACAAATACATATGCTTTTAAAAAATTTTATGCTATATTTAGTATATATGTTTGTTAAAATGTAGAGTATATATTAATTTTATAAATTAGTCACATTTTTAAGAAGCAAGCAAGATATGAATTCTTTTTGTTTTTGTCTGGAACATTTTTTGGAAAATGCATAAAATTTGTTCAGATTAACTAACCTGAGTTTGGATTAATGAGAGCCCACTATACAGCTTATATAGAAAATTTTAGATAAACTTCATTGGCTTTTCTGTTATAATTACATATGTGTGAGCTCGCGGATTTTTTTGGGCTTCTTAAAAATCTAAATTTTCTGTTAATTGTCTTTGGAAAAAGCCTGAAGAATTTGAACTAGATCGGATTTCACCGATTGTATAACGACTAGCTGAGGAAGTTTACAGTTAGGTGTGAAGAATGCACCGTCATCGTCAACAAAAGTCAATCACGTGACAGTTTTCCCACGCCAATGATATAAAAGCTTGAATCTCCGGAAGCTCAGGGCGATTCGTCATAGGAAGTTATACTTTGTGATAGTGCCCACCTCGACTCCCAAACCTCCATACAGCGGACTTGATCCAGCTACAGAGAGAGGACATCAAATAGAAGACACAGAAGACACCACACCTTTCCATACAGACGACGTTCTCCAACGCTCCCTTCCACCGAGAGGTATTTAGGGGTTAGAATTTGTAAAAGCGCTCTCTCTCAAACTAGAAATTTGGTCAGCAACATAGCTACGAAATTCGTCGCCACTTTCTGTAAATATTTTAATATAACCGCATTTAACCTTAGTAGTAAGTTCGCCTCTTTTAGAGTTTAGATTTGTTGATTCAATAAATGCTTTGTTATTTTGTTAACCTGTCTCCTGTCAATTAAGGATGCCTGCTGACTTACCGACGCACTCCCCACTCGATTTACCCCTTAGCCATCCAACGACCCCGAGATTGGATTTTACCAGCCTGTGCAGAGTAAGTGGTCATTTGGGAATTTACCTGTGGCCCACTGCTTATCTCACATATGTATTACACACCTTTTCGATTTTTTATTCAATCAAAGCAAAATTTTCCAGAATGCATTTTGGCCTGTTCAAAAGACCCTCCTCAGCCAGGTAAGTTAAAAATACATTTGACATTATGATGTTATAAATAAACATCTATGAAAGAATCTGACAAAGTAAAAAAATACAATATTCGTAAAAATATTGTACCATAATGTCAAATATATAAGTTACCTGGCTGGAGTGGGCCTTTTGAACAGGTTGAAATACATTCTGGAAAATTTTACATTGATTGAATAAAAAATCAAAAAGGTGCATGATGTATCTGTAATTATAATGGAAAAGCCAATGAGGTTCGTTGTTATTTATTGCAAATTAATTGATAATACAGATCAGAAGCTTATACAGTAGAGCCTCGAAAACTCGGCACTCGATAACCCGGCACTCCGGATAACTCGGTCACACCCTGGCAGGGCAAAAATACCCTTAGATAATTCATTTTCATTATAGACGGCTTTATGCCTCATAATGTATTTTTCTGAGGTCTATCTTATCAGGTAAATTACTGTACACTATGTATTCATTAATTTTCATTTTCATGTAGTAAAAGCTCTATGCCTTCATAAAGGACGTACTTTTCCTTTGTTTGGGCAATTTATTCTCTGTTGTATTCTCAAGGAAACAATACATACAAGTACAGTACAATATTTTCTGAGGAAACACGCATACTTATCCTTTTTTAACCCCATTCCCGATAACCCGGCATTTTCACAAACTCGGCCAGCCTTCGGTACACATTAGGCCGAGTTTTCGAGGCTCTACTGTATTGAGAATTTTAGACCTTTTTTATTTTATAAAAGTTTGTAACTTAAAGGATTAATAATTGATAAGAAATTTTTAACCACATACTAAAGATAAGAAGACATAACGATATTTCCTTCCTCATGAAAAAGCATTCGCATACTTATCCTTTTTTAACCCCATTCCCGATAACCCAGCATTTTCACAAACTCGGCCACCCTTCGGTCCACATTAGGCCGAGTTTTCGAGGCTCTACTGTATTGAGAATTTTAGACCTTTTTTATTTTATAAAAGTTTGTAACTTAAAGGATTAATAATTGATAAGAAATTTTTAACCACATACTAGAAATATAATTATATTAAATAGGTTAATTTTTTGAATAATATTTATAATCGTTAATATATCATCTAAACTAAATTAATGATCATAATTATTTTCAATTTCAATAGAGTATTTCTGTAATAGAAAAAGGTCTAAATGATGAATTTGTGAAATATGGTCATCGTTTGAATTTATATAACAGAGCTAAACGTTTGAATGATACTCTACCCAAAAAACATAATTGTTTGCTAAATAATTATCATGAAATGAATATAAGAGAGATTCCAAAGGTAAAAATTAATTTTACATAAATTTGCATATTTATTTATTTATGTACTAAATTGCATTTAATTAAATTTTTATAGCTTGTTATAAAAGGTCGCTTATTACCACGGATGATACCTGGAAGAAAGCATTTGTTTATTTCTTCTACCTCATCTGATTCTCTTAGTGAAGGGGATATGGCAGTACTTTCAGTTGAAGACTTAGCTCTTGAATATTATCGTAATCAAGGATATACACAGGGTATGAGATTAATTTAAAATAGTTGGAATTGTTATATGATGACTTTATTGTGAAATAAATTTTTTTATAATTCTGTTAATTAAATTTCATTTCTAGGTATCCATGGAGAAGGTCCAACATTTGTCAGTCTGTTTTGCTTATATTTTTGGACTGAGATTTATGAACATGATATTCCAGATGCATTTATTTGTCCTCATCAAACACATCCACTAGATTTAAATTCGGATGCTTTTTTTCAAAGTAGAAAATTAGAAATTGAAAAACACTTAGAAAAATTAAAACAATTATCTATTGAAGTAAGTATAAATTTTTAATTTTAAAGAAAACTTGTTTATAACATAACAGTATAAGCCCCTTAGTGCCATTTTGATCTAATGCAACTTTTCCACAATCTTGGAAAGAAGTTTGTCTCAATGTGATTTTAAAAAGGTGGTAGACTCTCTTCAACGAATTATTTATAGACCTGTTATTTTGGTTAATGGTGAGACTGGATTGAGGAAAATAAATAGTACAAAAAGTATGATGTTAGTCAATAGGTCTGATAATTTGGCAAGGTAATGCAGTATCACATTATAAATACCTAGGAATTTATTTTACATCTGAAGGTTCATTTTTCTTCATTTGGACAAAGTTAGCATTGTGACAAGATCAAATATTTCAAATGTGATTAATTTACTAATAATCTAATTACTAATAATAATAATGAAAGGTTTTTCTATCAATAGCTATCATCATCATTTTGATGCACAAGTTTTGGTTATTTATTTCCTGTCTAGGGAACAGGAATAACTTTGCTGGATAATTTGGAAAAAGTACAGTTATAGATTTTTTAATGCATATTTTATTTAAATCATTGTTACAATTTTGTGATAACTCAGGATATATTCTTTTCTTCTTAATTGAAGTTTTAGACTATTTACAAAAAATTAAAATTTTTCGAGTCTATCTTTTAAATCCTTTTTACACCACCACAGAAGTAACAGTTTTAAATTTGCTTTGAAGAAAAACTTCTTAATGAAGAAAACACTTCTAAAAACAAGGTAAAAAGAAGTTTTTTCTTCAAAGCAAATTTAAAACTGTTACTTCTGTGGTGGTGTAAAAAGGATTTAAAAGATAGACTCGAAAAATTTTAATTTTTTGTAAATAGTCTAAAACTTCAATTAAATCATTGTGTTTCTGGACCTCAAAATAGAGTTGAACTTGGCAGACTCTCTTTTATTTGGTTTTTCTGTAAATTTATTGTGTTTTTGGATTCATCATCTCAATCTCTCTGAAAGTTACATTGATGAGATTGGTATATAGAAAGTTGATTGTTATTAAAATAAATCTATGATCTCTTCACAGTTATTGTTGTTAAAATAGATTGTACAGAATTTATGATTACTCTTTTGAGTTTTCCTCTCAACTATGCCAGTTGACAGAATTCTTTCTCCAAGATATACTGCTGGTACTAAATGATATTTTATGGACTAGAGGTGTCAATTACATTTCAAAGAAATTATCTAGTTACTTTTCCTTTGTGTACATAAACTTTCTTATACTTGGATTTAAACTTTAAAATTAAGTCACTAGTCATGTATCTTCATCAAAATAAAGTTTTAATAATCTTAAATGGAGAAAATGTAATAATTTAAACAATTTCCCTTGTTGTTACTGCTGAATATATGTGAAAAGTATGAAGGGCCACTTCTTTAATGCATGTGTTACGTTCACAAATTTATTATATTTAATATATTTAATGCTAAGTTTTGTTTAATTTTTCTCTAATGTGATTTATTTGTGTAATACATTATACAAGTGTATAAGTTTTTTGTATTGTCTTTGACTTTATGTAAAAGGTACATTGACATATCAATAAAATAATTATTATGTAATACAACAATATTGTAAAAACAATTTCATCATGTTTTAAATTTATTTATAAAAAAATTTGATGTTCAGAAATTTATTTGAAGATTTCTCCACAAATTCAAAATTTAAATTTTATGTTAAAATAAATTTATCTCTTAAAGCAATCATTTGTTTTTTCTCTGCAATAAAATGTGAAATATTTTATCGCAGAGAAATTAGTTTTAATAGTAATTAGTTTTGAAATATTTCTTATATGAAAATTGAATAACAATGACAGATTAAAAAGCATTTTTTTACAGAAATTTGATATTTCAAAACTAAAAAAATGTGTATTATTTCCAGATAAATGATTAAAAGCAATAATACAACTTGAATTTGAAGTTATAAACAATTGTAATCGAAGTTTAAATGATTTAAACCCTTCCAGTGAAGAATAATAATCAAAATCAGTATCTTAACAAAATACTCATAAAATACTTTAAAATGTTTACTTTTAAAACTATGTCAAATTTTTAAGATTTTTCTTCAAAAATGTTCTTTTTGATAGCTATATTAATCTTGTTCCTAGAGAGCATAATTACGAAGGTCATTCTAAAAGTAAAGAATGTTTGTTTCTCTAGATATTTTTATTTAAGATAATGAAGCAAAACTTATTTTACAATACTTATGATACCTTAGCTATTTTTTTACATAGTCGCCATACAAATTTAAACATTTGTCATAGCATATCACCAGCTTTTCTATGCCTACTGCACACTCAGTTACTGCCAAGTCCTTGAACCAGTCATTAACGGCCTCTTTCAGTTCATTGTCACTTCCATAGTGATTCCCAGCCAAAAAAATCCTTCAATTTTGGGAAAATATGGTAATCACTTGGAGCCAAGTCTGAACTATAAGGAGGATGTTCAAAAACTTCCCACTTAAACTGCTGAAGCAAGTTCTTCATCGATGCAGCAACATATGCATGTGCATTATCCTGAAGAAGCACAATGCCTCTGGACGACAATCTCCGCTGTTTGTTTTAAACTGAAGCTTTATTCATCACATTACCATAAACCTCAGTTATCTATCTGTAAATTTCAATAGGGCGGACTTTTTTGCATTCAAAAAGCGTATTACACTATGAACCTCACACTTAGTGGGATCTTTAATTTTACCACACATTTCAAAGTCTTGCTATAAACAGTAAACAATTGTTGCGTCTTGCTGTTAGTGTCAGAATGGTGTGAAAAAATGGGAAGGTCCATGACGCAGCGGTGGGGTCAGTGGGAGAACTGCGTGGCTTGTCAGATCAAAATGTTCTTTTCTTTTAGAATGACCTTCATATTTTCATTGAAAAAAATGATCTCATTAATTCACATGAAATTGTAGCAACTGTAAAATCAAAAATTTTTTCTTCATTAAGAACTAAAAAGTTAGCTAATTGTTTTTTAAATTTTATTATCATAAAAGTATTTTGCAAATGACAGAATTCCATTGCAAATTATTTACCATAAGTTATCTTTTTACTATGATTATTGTTCAATGAAAATATCATTATATAAAGTTGATGAACTAAAATAATATAATTTCAAAATTATATAACATCATTAAAAATTAAAATGTAAAATAAGTTGAAAAATAATGAAAATATTTTATAATGATTATATATAAATTTTATTTTGAAAGAGAAATTTTGTTATTAAATTTTTTGTTATTTCATCAAAAAAATAATAATTATTATTAATTAAAAAGTTAATAAATATCCTATTTTTATATAGTCTAACTTTTTTCATATTGTAGTTGTGCTGCTTACTAGAAAGCATTTACCATTACTTAATATTACTGTTAGCCCTTACTATTATACTATTCCTATTGTAGATACTTACTGTTAGAAGGCAACTATTATTTCTCTTCTTTGAGAATTGGGTGCAATTATTGTTCTAGACTGATTATTAATGGGAATACATTCACTAACTTTTTCACTTTATTTTTACTTCAATAACAATGTAACATATCAACATATGATAAGAGTGACAATGCTAAATAGACTGTGCAGTTTCAGTTTAAAAGAGCCTTATCTTCCTCCAATAGGCAGTGCATTGTCTATAACTTTTTTTATCTTGGAGCTGTGCTATTAGAATAAATATGGTAATTATTAAATTTTACTAAATAACAGTTTGATTTGACCCATTTTTTATGGATATATTTTAGGAAGTAATAGAATTTGGAAGAATTAACTGGCATAAGCATAAAGATAAAATGTGTCTAATCCAGTGGGATAAATTTATTGACTGGGAGCAAGTAGAAGTATGTTATTAATGTTCTTAGTTTTATGCAAAAAAAAAAATATATATATATATAATAATATGCAATTATGGATAATGGGAATTATTTTTTTATTTTTTTAGAGTCTGATTAGATGTCTTGGTAATAATCTTCTAGTTGGAATATGTAAACGATTAGCTGAGAATTTTCGACACTGTCGAAGTGGAGCACCTGATCTTGTTGTTTGGAATCAAGATGAATTACAAATCAAGGTAAATGCATATTTCTGAATATATTATTAAGTACAATATATTAAATAATATATAGTAATAACATGGGATTCTGTCTCATTTAAAAAAAAAAAAAAATTAAATTCAAAAAACAAAAATTAAAAATAACTTAAAAATTTAACAGAACAGTTAATTTTGGAACTTGATTCACTCACTTAATTTTTACTTTTTATTACTACTATCCTGGTTTTACAGAATATAACACATCACTCAATAAGTCTCTGGTCTAACTAAGAAAAACAGTTTTTTTTTTTTAAATTTGACTTTATTCATCAACATACTCTCTTTCAAGAGTGATACATTTATTCCAATGCTCCTTTAACTTTTTGATGCCTTTTTTGCAGAACAGTTTGTCTTTGCTCTCAAAATAGGCCTCAGTTTCAGCAATCACTTCTTCATTTGAGCCAAATTTCTTTCCCTGGAGCATCTTTTTGATGTCTGCAAAAAGCCAGTAGTCACTGAGAGCCAGATCTGGAGAGTATGGTGGGTGAGGAAGCAATTCGAAGCATAGTTCATTCAATTTAACCATCATTTTCATTGACTTGTGACAAGAGGCATTGTCTTGGTGAAACAGCACTTTTTTCTTGATTTCTACACTCAATTGACCCAATAGTGCCATGTAATATTCACTATTGATAGTTTTACCTTTCTCAAGATAGTCGATGAACAAAATACCATATGCATCCCAAATTACAGATGCCACAACCTTGCCAGCTGACTTTTGAGTTTTTGGTTGCTTTGGACGACTTTCACAGGCTGCTGTCCACTCAGCTGACGATCTTTTTGATTCATGTGAATACGGGGGCGTAAGGCTCCCCCGTTCACTTGTCAGGACGTCTAATTGACTCTCAAAGGTCAGGCGAGTGGATGGAGAGAATTTGGGGTCGACGATAAGGTGAAGGATGTGATCAAGTAAAGGAGTCTACCATATTTTTAAGAAATAAAATAACAATTTATTAAAAATAAGCAAAATGACAAAGACTACACAAAGTTCATTTCTATACCACCTAATATGCTCTAGAGAGAGTTTCCCGCGTTCATACCTCGTTATGGAGTCCTTGATCGGTTTAATCCGGGGAGGCGCTTAATGATCAAATCTATTATCCACAGGAGCACAAATTTAAAAAGTTCGCGACTTTTGCGATGATTTTATTCGAGGTTCATCGGAGATCAGAATTCGGCGGGTTCGGAAAATCAGTGCGATGTCGTCGGTCCAGCATTCAGTAATATACTCCCCAGAGAGGGGGTAAGAACGGCCTTTTATAGGTTTTTGTGGGAAATTTCCACCACGTGATCGGATGTTCATGAGTTAAAGGTTATAGGTGTTCCTTGTTCCTGGGATCTAAAACAAATGACGACATTTAGATGCTAACTGTAAACCTTCTTGCAAGATGAGATGCTAGTTCTGCAAAGAACAATGGATGTTGCTAGTTATGACTGGAAAGTTTGCACAATCCCGGGCAAGATCGTTTTTTCTTCTAGGGCGTTACATAAACGAAAGTTTAATTAATTAACATTTTTGTTAATAAAAGAGCGGGATTTCCGTCACAAAAATTCCGGATCTCACATTCAGGTGTGTAGTAATGGATTCATATTTCATCCATTGTCACATACCTATGCAAGAAATCCTTTCTATCTTGCTTGAACAGCTTCAAACAGTACTCTGAATCATCAATGCATAATTGTTTTTGGTCTGGTGTGAGCAAACACGGCACTCACTTCGAAAGCAACTTACACATGCTCAAATTTTCGTGTAAAATTGTAAACACACTACCTTCTGATATCTTTATGGTAACATCTATCTCACGGAACTTCACTTTATGGTCTTTCAAAACTATTTTGTAGACTTCTTATTATGTTTTCCGATAATGCTGATTTTGGGCAACCAGAGCATTCAGCATCATCGGTGTTTGTACAACTGCAATTAAATTCAGCATACCAGTCAATAATAGTTGATTTCCCTGGTGCAGAGTCTCCATAAAGCTTATCAAGCCACTGTTTGGCTTTAACAGTATTTTTCCCCATCAAAAAACAATGACACACATGAAATTCTTTTTTATCTCTTGTTTTGAAAATTACAAAACTGGGGTTACTAAAACCACTGTAACCTGTAAACTAATTATCAGAATGTCATGAAATTTTGACGTGTATCGTTTGAAAGTTAGTACTATCCAGAAATCATATGAGTCTGTCAATAGTGTCGCCATATATGTGTCAGCCAGAGACTTATTGAGTGATGTGTAAATATAGGAAAAGTATGGTCAAATTTTGACTACCCCTTTATTTTGCATTTGATGTTTTGACACTCCAGGAGTCCAAAAATGTAAAACAAACTTCCTACAAAATTTGTTTTGCATTAAATCTCGGGACTAGATGAACCAAAAATTTTGAAGCTTGGCAGGATTGTTTCTATGTATGGGACATTGATGGTATTAAATTCTGGTGGTTTAAGGTCAAAGGAATGAGAAGATAGAAGGGGGAATTTGTCATATCTCAAGTGGGTTAGACTTATGAAAATTTTACTCATTATTGGCATTTATATTTTTTAAAATACACATTTACTCCAAAAATTAAACCTTTTGCCTTTTTATAATAAGTAATAACATAGAAGTTATTTTGAATAAAATCTCGTAACAGTTGGTAACAGTACGTTAACACAATTTTAACTTTGTGTTAACGTAGATTCTTGTTTTCACACAGATATTTTTCGCCAGGAAAGTTATACAATTCATTGGTGAATTTTTTAGAAATGTTAATTACTTAGGAACAAAATGAATGGTATTCCAATACCTTAACCCATTCTTCCCAAAAATGTAATACGTAGACTAAATTATCAAGAAATTCCGGATATATTGCATCATTAGGAATAATACTAGGAAATTGGTCGGTATTTTCTAAATAAAAACCTTTGCCGAACGTTTTACTGTACATCTGTCATTTTTCATAACAATGTCCAGGATACTTAATAAATGTTTCTATTTCAATCATATTTTGCATATTTTATGTGCAATTTAAATTTTTTTTAATTTCGTAGTTAACGTAACGGTATGTAAACGGATTGAACTAAAGAATCTAAAATTTTTTGCATTTTTTAAGAATATAAATCATTTGTTACATTCTGTAAAAACCTNTATCCCATGTAATTAGTATATTAGTATATTGCTATTAACCTACTTCGCGTTGAATTTTCATTGATGTTAAACCTAACAAATTTTTTTAAAATAATAATCGTTGCTATTGTATCCTTAAAAATTATTTTATTGCTTACAAAACAAACAACCACTCATAATTAAAAAATTAAGCCTCGTTTAAATACTGGCCTCCTATTCATGGTCGAGCCAGTGTTGCCAGCTTAAACACGCAAAAATTTAACAAAAATAATATTAAAGTAGCCAAGACATAGCCAAATATTGTAGCACCACATCACTAGCGGACATTTGAATTTGCTGACTAGAACGCGGTCGGTTAATCGAGGTAACGGTTAATCGGGGGTCAGATAATCGATGATCTACTGTAATTTTAATTATTTTTAATAAAATCTCATAAATGATGTCACACAATTTTAACTCTGAATTGTATCTTAGTGTTTTTTAAACTTGAATATTTTTTAAATAGCAAAATTTATCTTAATTCAATAAATTTCTATTTATGTTTTATATCAGTACTAGCAGATAAGCCCAGTGTTGCTTGGACAAAAAGTAATGATAGCGAAGATTAAGGTTATTACATTACAGCCAATCTTTCCCGTTTTCACAGAATGCAAGAATTAGTCCCCCTTTTCTAGACTAATTAGAGAACTTTTAGATGGGTCTAAAAATGTGTTTGATTTCCCCCCCCAAAAAAAACGCATCTGCGCCTGTTAATCTTGCACGCCACTTTCTCTTAACACTTCCATTATTGTCACTTTCATTGTTGAAGCCTTAATTCTGTCCCTCTCCCCTGTGGGAGGAATTTTAAAAAATCCCTTCTTAGTGTGTGTTCTCGTGATGTACCCTAACTGTCTACCAAATTTCAACTTTTAACTCCTAACCGTTTGGGCTCTGTGCTTATTATTATCAACTTGTTTCGATTACATATATAGATAATTGAAAATTATAGGACTTTGTGGTTCCTATAACTTGTTCAAATGCTGGAAAAGCTGAACAAGAGCTTTTGCCAGCTTTTCATATAATTTAATTAGATACTTCAATAAAATTATTATAATTCAATTATTTATAAAAAAAATAAAGAATTGTATTATTTATGAAGAAATGTAATCATTTGAAAATTTCAGAAGAATTAGAAACTATAGTCGATTCTCCTTAAAATGAACACTGATCGATAAAGCAGATTCTTGCACTAAAGTGAATTTTATTGTCTTAGCAAAAAGCCATTGTCATAACATTAATTTTTACAAGATAAAGTGAACAAAAATTTTAACAGAATTCCTTAAACCAACTGTATATTACCTTCACAACCCCTAAGAAATAACCCTATTTCCAACAATGATTGCTTTTTAAACTTTTCAATGTGAACAATAAAAAGTGATACTGTAATAAATGTTATATTTTGAGTAGAATAGATTTCCTTCTTATAGTAAGGATGCCCAATCCTTTAAACAGATGTGGTTTTGTGAAAAAGTATTGGGAAATGCATGCAGCGATGCCTACATGGCTACTTTGTGCCAAATTCGACTCCTTTTTTACTCTTTTGGTGCCAGAAAATATTTTCTATTTTTTCTAACAATTTTTGATTTGACATAAAAAAAACATTTATTTCTTTAGTTTTGTTTAACCATTCTGATATACTGCTCTACACTTCAAGGGTGAATATCAAGTTCTCACATATTATATGTTAATATCTTTTCAGCCAATGATATAATTTATGCTCATGCTTCTAGACATTGTTTTTATATATACCATATTCTGTCTATTTCTTGAAGCTACATCTATATATATATAAATGGATGGGTTTGTCCCTATATTTCACTCTGCAGCCAAAACTACACATCGCACATGAATTGTGTTTGTGTGTGGTAGTACTCTCACACATGGTGGTTGCGTCTCGATAGCTATAAGGGTGTGGGAGATATGGGGGTTGAAAGTAGTTGACATCGAAAATGTGTAACAATGAAAGTGTTAACAATGGAAGAGAAAGCAGCATGCAAGATTTACAGATGCAGATGCAGTTTTTTGCGTTTTTTTTTGGGAAATCGAACATATTTTTAGACTCATGTAAAAATTCTCTAATTAGTCTGGAAAAGGGGGACCTAATTCTTGAATTCTGTGAAAATGGGTAAGATTGGCTATAATGAAATTATCTTAATTTTCGCTATCGTTACTCTTTGCCCGAGCAATGCTGGTCTTTTATATATATAAAAAAAAACTATATTACATATAAATGTACGAACAAATAAAAACCCAGCGAAGCGGGTACTTGCAGCTAGTATAGTGCATAATATCAATTATTTTAGTGAAAATAATTATATTTATAGATTTTTTTAAATATCTGCTTGATTACCATTGTGAGATTTTTCTTAATAATTATTTTTAGTTTGTTGAAGTGAAGGGACCTGGAGATCAGCTATCTTCAAAACAAATTTTATGGTTGGACTATTTGTTATCATTAAATGCTGATGCAGAAGTATGCTATATACAAGGTATATTTTAGCAGAAATTAATATGAACTTAAGTTTAATTTTTTAACTTAGATTGAAAATTTATTAAATCAAAAAAGGATTTTATTGACTTTTTTATTTATGAACAAATAATTTAGTTAAATTTTGAAAATTTTGCAAGTTACAATTCAAAAACATTCTATAGCATTTAAATTCAAGAACATTCTATATTGAAACTTCTCTTTAATATTCATTAAATATTAAAAAGATTATAAATTTTAAAAATATTAAATATTAATATTCATTAAAGAGAAGTTTCATTAAATGCTATAGAATGTTCTTGAATCTTAATTATCTTAATTTTCAGATACAATGAAAAGATTTTTATTCTTAAATATAAAGATATTTGGTAGAAAGATTTTACACACATTTTTTTTAAAAACTGCATCAGTTTTTCTGTTAATTTGAATCTTTTAAATATTCATATGCATCAAATAAACAACGATCTACAATTAACCAGTAACCAGCGTGAAATTCTTTAAAAATTGGCAAACGTTTTCGATTCCCCTCCTGGGATCAGGCTTATTTTTATACCTTCCGTTATAACTGGATTCTTTAATTCAAATGTTTTTAAAAATTTGAAATGTGCCAGTGGAAGGAATCCACGTGCTATTTCAAATATAATTTTCTACTAATAGGGATTTGTTGTGTGCAATACCTCATATAAATTTATCTTATAAAATATATTGTGATTTATCGTCAATTAAAAATTGCCATGCTGCAGAGAGATTTATTTCTTCTTTGAAATTAATGCATACGGATTTGTGATCGGCTTTAAAGATTTCCACTGCCTCCAAAGTTCTTAGTTTCCCCTGGTGTTGGGTGGTGCGGATAACAGGCGCTTCATTGAAGATAGGTGTGATGCCTGGGTTTGTTGCATACGTAGATAGGAAGGAATAAAAATAAGCCTGAAGAAGATCCCAGGAGGGGAATCGAAAACGTTTGCCAATTTTTAAAGAATTTCACGCCGATTACTGGTTAATTGTAGATCATTGTTTATATGAAATATATACAACCCGGTTTGGTGAGAAAGTACATATTCATATGCAGTTGTAATAAGCAATATTTGAAATTCTTGAAATAGTAAATGACTAGGAATTTGAGAAAACTATATTGTTTTTCTTAATTCAGAAAAATTTATTTAATAGTACTGTATCTGTTATTCAAAATAGTTCTTTTTCTTAATTATTCAGATTCAAAATTCATTCTCAGTTTATAAGTAGAGTTCTGAGAATTTAAGTTTTGTTCATAAAAAAATTGAACTTTTAAAATTAGGAAAAATATCTAGAACCAGGTTAAATTGTTATATTTATTACTAAATCAAAACTTTATTTTAAATGAAATAAAATATGTTTTGAGTTAAATTATTGCTGCTTCTTTTTAGCTATAAATTCCAGGAAACTGAGTTGAAGAAAACTGTGTATGTATGTTTTGTAAAGGAATAATTTTTTGTATGAAATAAAATATATATTTATATAACTTAATTCATTGTAAAAACAATTCTTTTTAACAACAAAATTAGTTGTAATTTTAGAATTTAAAAATGCTCCTTTAAGTGTTGTACATTACACTTATAGCAGATTGAGTTCTGGAATTATAAAAACTTAAAAGAAACCAAGTCAGAATGAAGAAATTTTTAATATAGTTAAAAGGAATCATTTTGAGAAACTATTTGTATATTCTTTCAGAAAGTTGTAAGAAAATATTCTTAAGATTCTTTTAAATTTATTACATTTGAGCATTTTTAATGCCATACCATTGAGACATGAGAAATTAAAGATTTTGCTGTACTATAAATGAAACTCTGTTTTTTTTATTCAATGGTAACTTTCAAATTAATAAAATGTATTATTTTAACAACAGATTTTATTAATTCATTCAATTTTGCACTTGAATATAAGAAATATTGCCAAATATTACATTAAAAAAATTCCAAAAATGAATTTAACATAGACCTAAAACTTTACCATTAAAATGGATATGATATAAACTTTTGAAAAATGATGAACTTCTATATTAAAAGATACAATTAAATAACAATATGAGGAGCAAAAATACAGAATAATCATATTTTAATGATAGGTTTGAGAGGCACAATTTTGTTCACCCTCTTTGAAATTTAATAGCTTCTGTGCTTTTTGTCGAAAATTTCTGAAATTTTTCAGCATGGTTTGTTTATAAGGGGGATTGATGCTATTAAATTTTGGTGGTTAAAGGTCGACGGGGTGGGGAGGTAATGTGGGTTGTGTTTATCTCCAGTAGGGTCGGACTTAATGACGAGTTTACTCATTATTAGCATTTACAATTTTTTTTTTTTATAAAACTCATTCCTATCCTTAATATTAAACTTTTTTCCATTTTTGCATAATAGTTAAAAATATAAAAAGTTTCTACTAAAATATGAAATAACATTGCGTCACCAAAATTTTAATTATGCCGGGAAAGTTGAGCAACCTGTTGCTGATTTATTATTTTTTCTATAATCTAATAGCTTAAATATATTTTCATAATTGAAAATTAAGGCAATACAAACAAAGTTCTAGTCCTTTTTCATTCAGTCCAGGAACCACAAACAGGGATAAAGTCGAAATCATTTTTAATATATGGAAGTTTTTTGATTGTGTTTGTTATTTTTATAAGTTTTACTTCAAGTCGCCCGCTGTTTGTGGAATGAAAACGATTTAGAGAGAAAAGGATTCGAACTTTGTATTGCCTTAATTTTCAATTATGCAAATAAATTACTCAGTTAAAATAATCGTGGGCTTATGTATAATAGCTTTAATATAGTTTAAAATATTTTTTAGTTTAAATTTAAAAATTCATGCATTTAAGTGTTAACATAAGATTTCATTCGTTGAGCCTTAAATTTCGTATGAAATTTAAGTATAAAGTTAGAAACTGACAGTAAGCCAAACTCTTGCGTTTGAAATAATACTTCGCGCATCAATTGAAATCGATCAGAGTTCACAAAATCTCAGCCCATAGATCGAATTTCAAAATTCCGGCTTCGTCACGATATCAGCCTTGCCATGTGTATATACAGTATAGCTTCGATTATCCGACCACCGATTAACCGACCGTCCTAGTTGGCAAATTTCAAATGTCCACTAGTGATGTGGCGCTACAATATTTGGCTGTCTTGGCTACTTTAATATTATTTTTACGTGTTTTAGCTGGCAACACTCATTCGACCATGAAAGGGAGCATTATTTAAACGAGGCTTAATTTTCTAATTTTTAACGATACAATAGCGACGATTATTATTTAAAAAAATTTTTGTTAGGCTTAACATCGATAAAAATTCAACGCGAAGTAGGTTAATAGCGATATACTAATTACATGGGATATAATAATATATTACACTAATAATGGATTTTTTCATACTTTTCGGTTATCCGACTTTTCAATTATCCGACCAACCCCAGTCCCCAATTGAGTCGGATAATCGAGGCTCTACTGTATTTGCAAGAAAATCATGTTTAGTGGTCGTGCGGTCGCTTTGTACTTCGATCATAGACAAAAGACTTTTTGACTCATTAAGAGCTCCGCTCAAAATTTATTTCACTATATACAATTTTGCTTTGGAGGAATTACGATCACATTGATCGTAATTTCTCCAAAGCATTTTACACTTTAAAGCAACGGCGAAAAGAATCAATAAACTTAACCGGCAACCTAAAGGAATTGTGATGTGTAACGAATGCACCGACAAATGTACGTTTGAAAACCTGAATATTTTTCTTGAAAATTGACATTGGTCACCGATACCAAAATTGAAATCGGTTTAGCTTATTTGGTTACGGTAACGCGACGCATTGGTTATCGGAGGGATAATTCCCCGGGAGGACTTTCTACAGGAACTCCCTATTAGGTGTTACAAACGTGAGGAAAACCCCACGTGGTTTGCCCGTTGGCAAGGCGCGAACTCATGACCAACTACCAGTGTTCAGTTGTTTTATCCACTCTGCCACTAGTGGACTCACATAATGAAATAATTCTCAATGTCGGAATAATTACTTGACGTTCCTATATCGCAATTTTCCAAAGCAAAATATGAGAAGCGGGTTTCCGGTATAGCTCTCCTCACATTCAGGATGACCGTTTTATATCTGAAAAATCTATAAGATTCTCAGAGTCAGGACCTGACACCAGTTAGGTTAATATTATACCGTGTCCTAACTCGCAAATTAGTCTTTTTCAAAATGGAAAGTACACTAAAATTCTACCGGAATTCTAAGATCTAACTTGAAATACTGTATTAATAACGTTGGTATCGTTAAATGTTTCGTGTACATCTAAAATAAAACTTTTGATTGAAATGATTAGCTTGGTTATACGTTTTATATCAATGTAGTCTACGTCATGGTTCACTCAATATTGTAGAATAATGTAAACTTGTCCAAGTTTAAAAAACGAAAATGATTCAATATAATTTTTTTAATTTGGATAATTTTTAAACTTTAATTTGAATTTTAAAAATCTCATAAAATTTTTAAAATTCATCTATTTAAATTATTCGTTATATTAATTTATAAGCAAGAACATCTAGATTTTAATCTACAAATTTGAAAATTATAGCATTTACAGTAAAGCATCGATTATCCGACCACCGATTAACCGTAACATCGGTTAACCGACAGTTCTAGTCGGCAAATTCAAATATCCGCTAGTGATGTGGCGCTACAATATTTGGCTATATCTTGGCTACTTTAATAGTATTTTTACGTGTTTTAGCTGGCAACAAGGCTCGACCATGAAAGGGAGTCAGTATTTAAACGAGGCTTCATGTTCTAATTTTTAACGATACAATAGCGACAATTATTATTTTAAAAAAATTTTTGTTAGGCTTAACATCGATCAATGCGAAGTAGGTTAATAGCGATATACTAATATACTAATCTAATGTATTTTTTCATATTTTTCGGTTATCCGTTTTTTCAGTTATCTGAGAAACCTCAGTCCCCAATTGAGTCGGATAATCGATGCTCTACTTATTTGCATTAGAAAATATTATAAATAGAGTCCCTCAGTTATACTTTTCTTTTTTTCCACAAGATTCTTCTTTGCTTCTATGAAGTCTTGTCGACATACTTTTATTCTTCTATTTCGTACTGCCGCGAGGTGCAAAGAGCCTTTATATCTGCTCCTGTCAGATCGTCTTCGAAAGATAAAATATCATCCAGATTGCAATCGTCAGCCAAATTCATTCTAGCCGTGTGTATTTGGAATATAAGACGCTTCTCGTTGTGACTGGGTAAGAAGAATTCAATCTTTCTGTCAATCCTTCCGGGTCTTATTAATGCAGGTCTAATCTCTCGATTCTGTTGGTTGCCAACACTACTTTTACGTCTCCTCTAGGATCGAAACCGTCCAATTGAGTCAGTAGTTCTAGCATAATTCTTTGAATCTCACGTTCTCCGCTATAGCATGCGTCAAATCTCTTACTTCCAATGGCATCGACCTCGTCAGAGTCGATAGATTAACTGGTCTTTCGAATAATAGTTCAAACTTAGCTAGAGACAATATTTGCCGCTAGTTGGCACCACTGTTGGCAGAAGAGCGTTGTTCTTGCTACGTATATACTGAGGTCAGTGATTTCGACCTATAATAATTGTTTTTTTAGCTACATAAAAATGCTAACGTGCTTTGTGCCAGGATGCAAGGCAGGATATAAGTCATCGAACGAGAAGAGACATTTTATTCCGTGTTCCTAGTGATAAGATTGAGTAGTGGATGCGATGCACATCACGAGACGACAAGATGCTAACAAGTAAATGTTACGTTTGTGACATACATTTTGCGAGTAGATTTATTTTAAAAACCTACTGCCATGTTATAAATGGAGAGAAAGTAGAAATTCCACGAGATCGCTGGGCATTAACGTCAGATGCATATCCATCAATCTTCCCTAATTGTCGTTAGTAAGTCTGTACCTCAAAAACGATCATCGCGATGTCTCACAAGAAATGACGAACCATCTAGGAAGAGATCCCGAAAAGACAATACCGAAGGTAAATATTTATATGTTTTTTATTACATAAAAAACATATTTTTTTATATGTTTATTTAATATGTTTTATATATAATATGNCTACGTAAATCAAGGTAAAACTGTAAACAAATGTTAGATAATCGCTATTTTCGTCGTTTTTCAGCTCCAATTTAGCTCTAATTTACATATTTATTGACGTTATTTAAACGAATAAGTGTTTTGATAGAAACATTCCGTGGTAAAATTACCTGCAAAACTAAAATACTTTTGGTTTAATTATTTCTCGCGATTACGCAATATCTAGAAGTAATGAGTTTTCCGGTAAATTTTTCGACTGGAAGCTTTTGATAAGACATCTAGTCCAAGTAAAGTCAAATAAAAAAACGTTCTAACTACATGTTGATCGGACTGAAAAGTTGGAAGAATATACGTTTTTTCAGTATTTTTATATTTAAAAAATGTTAACTAAAGATTGAACTGGTTTTTGAGACCCACTGTGATTCATATATTAACAGCTCTGTGGCCCACCTTTCTTTATAAATACTTTAAGATTAATTGTCTGATATTTTTTTTATCAATTAAAACTGACTTAGTGTAATGATTATATAATCTTGTATTAAACTCTTAACTTATGTTTTCTTTTCAATTAGCGTTTCTTTGATAAGATAAGGAATGATAAGACAAGGAAGTGGAAGCAATTCTCATCCCACAACAGTACAGTTCTTATACATGTGCAGACTGATGACTGTGCTCAGTTTGATTCGTCCTCCCAAACGAGCATCAGTTCAAACTGATCCTGGATCTTCCCTTATTACTTTAAAAAAATCTTCTTCAGAATCATAAAAAACCATTTAAGGAAGTTCAAGAACA